TATTATATATTTTTGAATGATGCAAGTAATTTTCCTTTATTTTAAGTATTTTCATATTAATATAAGTTGAAAAAAGGATTTGAAGCTTTATAACTCCAATTTAATTATATGCGAGGGCTTTCGACAGCTTGTCGTACTGTCATCATCAGGGCTCTACTCAAACCTAAAGAAGCTATTGTGTGGCGAAACACGTGTTGCGTTTTTGTAAAACTGTTTAATGAAAATCTCACCATTCCAATTTGTGATTATTGTTGAAAGTTGAGGAATTATCTATCAGTATTATCTATTATCAGTAATTTCTTGATATTGAAAATATCAAGAAAGATATTGAAAATATCAAGAAATCGTTAGTTTCCTGAAAGAAATTTTCCTGCCAGTGGCCGTCGACGGATATCTCTCGAATACTTTTACCATCAACGCTGGTGTTCCCCAGGAATCTATATTGTCTCCAACCCTCTTTCTATTTTATATCAAATAGAACAAGAATCCAATAGATTGCTTTGCTGACGACACACACTTGTTTTGTCATTCCATTTGGATTCCAGGATATCGGCGACGAATGGACATCTTCACCGGCAGCAGGAGGTCGCATATATCCTAATGGAGATCTAAAAATAATTTCGAATTGAGGTGAAAATAACCAGGTTCAATTCAATTCCTCAAAAACCCAGGCATAGTTTTCCCCGAAACGATAAATGTTTCTGAACCGGTTATTGAAATGTCAGGTCAGGCAATTCCACCTACCGTTTCAATAAGTTTGTTGGGGGTTAAAATGGACACCAAAATGTATCTTGATACAATCATCTGTCTGTTTAAAAAAAAGGTATAAGGTAAGGCCTTGTTCAGAAATATTGCAACAGTACAGAATATAGTGAACAATTATGATAGATAGTAAATTAAAATATATGAATAAAATTTCAAATAGGTATACGTATAAAGCTAGTGTAGATCATGCATTGTGAAATTAACGTATTCTAAAAACACTTTATTGTGTGATTTTCACTAGACAGTTTTACAAAAACGCAACACGTGTTTCGCTATACAATGGCTTCATCAAGTATCAGCCGATTCCATCATGTATATTGTGAAATTATTTCCATTTATACTTGTAAATATTTACATTCTTTTTTGTGAGAACATGTGCTTTTTCTTTCTGTATCACTACTTCATTTTTTTTTTTTTCGTTCCAATATTTCATTCATCTTACCTATTGTTATATTAGTTAAGCCATAATTTCAGTTCTTTTTTAAATCTGTTATCACTTGTAATAGACTTTATTTCAAATGGAACTTCTGCATAGGCAATAGACCACAAGTATGTGAGAAATCTTTGACTTCGAGATGTGCTTACTTTAGGAATCCTTAAGGTTTTTTGCTTGAATCTGGTATTGTGCAAGTGATCCACAGGCAATAATTTTGTTTCATATCTTATATGATACGTAGTGAAACTTAGAAAATATAGATGTCTACGTCTAATGTCTACATCAAAAAATTTAGATTCTGTGAAAAGTGTTTCAGACGGATAGGTATAATCTCTATTGAAAATAATTTTAATGATAAATTTTTGAGTTACATTGATAACCCTGAGGTGATTATCAGTAATACCTCCCCACACAATTATTCCATAGTTGATATGGGACTGTACTAGACTGAAATATAATGTTCGCAGCTGTGCTATGTCAGAAATATTTTTGAAAAACTTAAATTTGTTCGGTAGAAACGCATATTCTGCGTGCTTATTCCATCTTACATTTTTATCTATCATTATGTTAAGATATTTTATATGTTCTTTCATATTTATATGGATTTCCGACGAAGTATAATTTGGCAAGTTGTTGCTGAAATAAGTGAAAGGTACAAAGTGAGTTTTTTGTATTGATTGTCAGCAACCTGCTCTTAAACCAACTGACAATTTTTATGAAATCTCCCTCAACCTTGTCCTTCAATTTTTTCCAAGTTTCAGCGCGATATAGTACGGCTGTGTCATCAGCGAAATTAATAATGGTACCTTCTGAATTGACCCTAAACAAATAATTCAAGTAGATAATAAATAGGAGAGGCCCCAATACCGTTCCTTGGGGGACTCCATATTCTATGGTACAGTAAGAACTAAGTGTTTCATTTATTTTGTCACACTGTTTCCTATCAGAAAGATAGCTTTCAAATAATTTCAGCGATGTCCCTCTGAAACCGATGTTTTCCATTACCTTCATCAATGCTTCCTTCAATGCTTGAGTAATGTGATAAAAATATTCAACAATTTCGTTATAATTGGTTAGATGTATTCCATCATTAGTTTCAATATTTTTTATTTTATTTAGGTTTCTTGGTTTATCTATCATTTTTAGAGCTTGCCAAAGTTTGTTTGAGTTATTCTTTAGTTTGTTGATTTTATTTATGTAAAATTTTTCTTTGGTTTTTCTGATCATCTCATTAAGTTTATTGCGGTATCGTTTATATTGATTTCTCAAACCGACGTTGAATGGGTCAATGCGCAATTGTTCATATAACTTGTTTTTTGTATTTATGGAATTTGTTAGACCATTAGTATTCCATTCTTTCCGTTCGATTTGGCTTCTTTTGATTCGCATTTTTTCTGTGCTCATTTCGATTATAGCTTTCAGTTTACTAATAAATTGGGTTGCGAGGTCTTCTACCTACGTCTTCCTATTCATATATGTCTTCCCACGTTTCAGCTGAGACTAGGTAAAAAAATTTATTCTTATTCAAATAATATTTAATATTATGTTCTCTATCATATTGTTTCTATTTGATTTCGTTTCCGAAGATTTTATCTGGAGTACTATTGGATAATGATCGCTAACGCTTGATTGTATTTGTATTGAATGAACATTTGACACCTGTAAAATCCTATTTCGCAGAAAGATTAAAATTATTTTCTGCCCTAAAAGTGAAAAGGAAAGTGTCGGTGATTGGGAAGCACGTGTAAAAAGTTTAGCTTCCAAATGTAACTTCGCTGATAAAGATATTATGGATCGGTTATTTGAAGAGGATGCCTCAGACGTAAAGGTCACTTGAAGTCAGGGTTCAAAATTGCTCTGTCCAAAGAATCGGCGCTGAAGGAGCATTTATTCAGAGAAAAGGTATGCATTAAACAAGAGCCCGCAGATCCCCTAAACTTTCATAGACCCCAGTCAAAAGGAAGGTCGACAGGTAACGTCAACCAACAACGTAGTGATACGGTCCAAGGAAGCAGTGGTGCGACTGGTAAGAATAATTTGAAGAATCCAAGGGTGAGTCAAAATAAACGTTTTTCAACGAAGGTATGTTGTTTCGTTTGTGGTCGCAGTAATCATAAGGCAAGTGATTGTGCTTTCAAAAATTGTA